CGAGCATAATTGGCTTTTTCATTTACTAGGAGAAATACATCAAACTTATCCTATATTGGTAATTGAAAACCTTGATTTAACTGAAGAATAGAGAAAGGACTTTTTAGTCTTTTAATTCCTGCCACCTCACTTTGTAAACCAAGTTTGTCAAGCCACTTTGTACAAGTAGCATGATCGATATAATAATGAAAACATCATTTTTTTCTATTTAAACTTTTAAATAAAGCAGTCGAACGTACAATATCGTGCCAGATTGGTCAAAGCAAGTCACCTCATGGCCAATGCATCCGGCACTAAGGTACACATTTATTTGCACGGGGTCCATCTTTATGGATTTTGTCTCCCCTTTGTGTATAAAGATTAGAAAGGTATTCTTGTTCCTCCTCAAGCTCTTTGATCATGGAGAAAAGTAAATCATTCCCTTATTAATCATCTTCCTATGCAGAAGCCGGTTCGACTTTGAAGATCGTGCTAAATCTTTTAGCTTCAATGGCCTGGAGGACATTCCCGAGGTGAAGAGGAAGAAAAGGGTGCCAAGCTATAATATGTATTCTATGGAAGGTAAGTTAAAATTGTCCTCGATGAACAATTTTAAGTGGATTAAGAGCAAATTTGCCGACAAACATAATGGTATGTAAAGTATAAAAAGAACATTTTCTTCTCTTCAAACGTTTCATCAAGTGTGTGCCCGTCGTCATATAAGATCATTATCACATAGAATTTTTATCTTCAAATCTCATCACCTTGCAATATTTGTAAGTATATGGTCATGAATCATGATCATATCATATCATTTCAATGGAATTTGACGTGATAGATGACAATCTAAGGTGATTCCAAGCACGTTGAAAAACTAATGAAGTTCAATTTAGCTAGCCCCTGTTTTGTTTTGTTGAAAATTAATTTTTTTAGTAGAGAATCGTTTTAACTGGCTATGACATGAACAAAAACTATCGAGAGTGGAGAAAGAATTTTCATGAGGGACGGACGAGCAACTGACAATTTGGTTCAATAAAAAAGTTAAAAAGGCATTCCGAGTGCTCACTCAAAGATTCATGTAGGCAATTGTTTGGTAAAGATTAAAATTCAATTAAAATTGAAAATATAATCGTTATTGGATCTCACTCGTCTAATAAAAGTCAACAATAACGGCTAATTTTTCAATTTTAATCCGATTTTAATCTCAACCAAACACACTCTTAATATGAGTTTTATTAAGTCCATGCTTGACTCCCTTTAAAAAAAATTANAGGTAGCAGACAGGCAAAAAATAGCAGTCCTCCCTTTCTTCGAAAAGGTGGGGTTTTTCTCTCCCAGGTTTCCCTGAAACTCTGGCTTTCTCTCCTCTCGGTTCTTAATCTGTAGAGGTGGGTGGGTTGGTTGTGGTTTGGTTTTTCTTTGAATCTTCCGTTTCAATCCTTCTCCCGTGCTCTTGATCTATTTTTCCTAGGCGTTTGCCGGGGAGTGGGAGCTTCGGCTCCCCCTCCCTTTTCCCCTTTTTTTCCCTGTTTTTTCTTTTGTTATTCTGTTTGGGGTCGTGGTTTGTGGTAGTGGTCGGCTTTTGTGGGGTGGTGTTCCTGTTTGCGTCTCGGCGTCGAGGGCTGGAGCCTGCAGGGGGAGCATTGTTGAAGCTTTCGCCGGCGGGTTGCTCCGTTTTGGATCGGTTATTGTGCCTGGGGGCGGGTGTGTTGGTGGTGTACTTGTAGGGTGTCTGTTTGTGGTTGGGTGGTGTTTCGGTTGGTGGATGGCCTTTTTTTGGTGTTGACATCGGTGGGTGGCTGGGTGGTTTTTTTTCTCTGTTGTTGCTAGGTGTTGGTCGGTTGATGGGTGGTGTTGGTGTTGTGTTGGGTTGAGGTTCCTGGGTCCGATGTTGAGAATATGACCTTCTGAGTGCTCTATCTCTCTTTTGAGAGGTTTGAAGTTTTAAACAATGCCCGTCTTTGGTGGGAGTGCTCAAGTGCCGTATGCGTTATTTAGCTTAAAGTCGGGTTTTCTGATCTGCTAGGTCACATCTGTAACTTCGTTGCGGGCCTCTTCCATATCTCGGCTTTGGGTGTTTGTTGTTTTGGTGGCGTTGCTTGGGTGATGTATTTGTTTGTTTATGTTTGTATTAGAGTTTATTGCTATTTGTTTTATTTTTGATTGTCGTTTTGTTTTAGCTCTGATAGCACTTAAACTCTCTTAGAAGAGCATTGTGTTTTGAGGTTTATCCTCATTGTATCAGCTTTATGCTAATTTAATGGATGTGCATTCAAAAAAAAAAAAAAAAAGAAAAAGGAAAACACACACACACACACACACACACTTTTTAATTGTCAGCACTTTGAAAAATATCAATAATAACCCCAAAATATCAATTTTACTCTATTTTCTCTTAATTCCACAAACCATCTTCACCTCTCCGCACCTTTCCTTGCATACCTAATAGCATAAATCATGTAACTTTACAATACAAATAAAATAAAACCTCTTTTCTTCTCAGAACAATAAAATATAATTGCAGTAGTATAGCCACATTTTTTTAAAACTTATTTTTCCACAAACTCACGTTCAGTCACACATTCTCCCAATAAATAATTTTGCATGTAAAATCAACTCTTACCTACTTTTTAACTCTTACATTCTCGAGAAAAAAATCACTCTTTACATAATCTATTCTAAAAAAAAGGGCCTTAAACATGAGTATAATATTGTAACAACTTGAATTGAAGTTCAATGAAAATGTGAGCAGTAGCTTAGATCAACTATACTTCAATCGGTTAGTAAAATAATGCTTACAAGTTCAAGAAAGCTATCAACATTGTTTGTGTAGTACATTCATAAATATTTTGTCAATTACAGCCAACCATACAACAAAATCATCTAAAAAATATATTAAAGCAACCTCAGAGAGAGACCCCCCACCCAAAGAGCACTTGTATTAGATGGACTAACCTTTGTTGCCAACAAAAACTATATAACGAGCAGCAGAAATCGAAAGGAGAAACGACGGATAAAAATCTTCATGACCAGGAAGAATTAATAGGCTTAATCGATTACCATCAGAAGATGCAGAAACAAACTTCTCTTAAAGCTCATTCACCCAAACGACAAAGCTCTTCATTCTTCATAAACTTTCCATGCATTATCCTGTTTGCACGTGTAGATTTTCATGTTTCTGACCATAGATTCCTCAGCAATGAGAATCATGATCAGGGCTATCAGCATGCATGTCCATTGAAGTGTCGTTCAAGCTAGGTGGATTAGGATCCCTACTTTGGGAACCATTATTATCGTTGTTTCGCATAACATGATTTGCGGATTGGCCTCCCTGAGTCAAGTGATACTGCTGGAGACTTCGACGTATGGGACTGGAGAGAGCATTCGAGAAAACAGAGTTTTTAGATTGGTTATCAGAGTTCACAGAACGCATATTTGCAGGACCAAATGAATTGGAAGACACTGGAAATCCTGAGTGGATTGTCTGCATTGCAGTTTGAGACTGTTGCTGCTGCTGAAATGGCAACCTCGGGGATGGTGGGGGTTCATCAGTCCCATGATCAAGCTCGTTCTGCAAATATGTTGAGCAAAAAGAACAAGGGTCAAAACAATGTGCTTTGAAACAAAAATGATAATTGTTGAAAAAATTCTGTCCAAAAACTGAAACTTCAAGGAGCGTCACAATGTTGCTTTAAGAAAGTGGAATTCATCCCCACCAAACCTGATTACAGCGTGCAAAATATTTTCACGTGAGACGCTTCACAGGATACAATAAAGCACAAAATAAACCTCATAAATTGATTGCATTTTTGCACTTAGGAGTCAATTTCAAGAGGACCGTGCTTGACAGATGCACACATGGCGTGCATATGTAACACTTTCTATACAGTTTAGCTTTATCCATTTCAGGAATGAACAAATAAGGTTTCTTGATTACAAAGACGCCACAAATTCTATTTAACTACAGAACTTCCCCAGATTTTTAAACCATTCTGTTCTTCTCATTCTTATATCTCTCCAATTTTACAGAAATCTAGGAACTATTTTATCTCCAATAAAATTCAGAAAAATTAAAATCCTAAGAATAAATACATGCCATACATAAATGATATACCATACATAAATGATATACGACTCTTAGCATAATGAATTTCAAAGAAACTTGTATAAATAGATAAATTATTGTCTTCTCGATGCAATTACAAGTCTATATCAGATAAATTATTGTGCGCTCGATGCAATTACTAGTCTATATCTTATTAGCCAACAATATATAAAACTCGATGTACTTCTCATAAATGTAGTTATAAACAACTCAACCGGTATGCCTATTAATACTACTTATAACATTCTTGAATAATTTAATATGCTCAAAGCATATAAGCTCAAGTTAAATTATCACTTAAGGACGCGTTGCACTCTTTTATCCTTGTCAAAATTTTGTGTCATTAGTCTTTCTAACAAAGTTTTTAATGAGATAACTTTTGTACAGTTCAAAAAATTAATACTCTTTTTTCCTTACTAGGATTTTTGGCACGGGATTTTTCCTAGCAAAGTTTTAATGAAGCATATTCTTTGTGTAATGAAAGTCAATAACCTACAAACATTTACACTCAAATAATACTCTTATGTGTTACAATTGTGTATGAAACTCGATGTGAGCAACAAATTCAGTTTTTCACCTAACTATCATGTTACTACAGTCACCATAGATCGACAAATATCTTGTATAACAAAACAACATGAAACATACTTCACCATAATTATGATATTGAAGACATTGCATACAAGTCAAAGATCCGTACTATTTTCCTTAGCTTAAGTTTTGTCCCATTAAATTTTCTTGACAACATTTTAACAAAACATCATTTTATCACCTTTAAATTTTTGTACTTTTTTTTACATCGTTTGGAATTTTTGTACCATCGAATTTTTGCTAAACAAGGTTTTAACAAGACACTAGTGTAAATAGTCATTCAAAAGTGTTGTAAATTTATTAGATTTGTGGATGACCATTATAATCATGCAGCCTTATTTGAAATATATAAATGTGAGACATTGGTTCTAAATAAAATACACATGAGAATACCGATTCTTACTACTCTCTCTCTCTCATTTCCTTGTATTCTTGTTTTCTCTATAGTTTTATAACATTATCTATATTTTCAAGAGCTCCAATATTTCAAGGGTAACTTTTGTACAAGTTATTCTGAACACATTCCTACAAATTAACATTTGACTTATTTGAAATCAAGAAATTATGACAAGAAGAGATGCTCTTTTTTAAGATCTAAGTATGTTTCATGCGTGCATCAATGAGCTCAAGTGCTATTTTGTGAACCAAGACTGTAGCTTACCCTAAAGCAGCATGAGGCAGGTGGATTTTGTTGGAAACTAGGAGGCAGAGTGTTGGGCTAGGCCAGCTTCTCACTATTTGGAAGTTGAAATTAGGGATTGAGATTGTTGCAGCTGAAATTGAGACGAATCCAGGAATGAATCACTTAGTGATATAACTTATCAGCGGATATAAACTGGACTTATTGACTGAAGTTATTGTTTGTTCCCCCAAAAAGTTTAAGCCCAAAATTAAGTATTTAGTCCAAGATCCAAACTGAATTAATCGAATCATTTCCACTCTAGGACATTATACAAAGCTCTAAACTCTGAAAGAGACGGATTTTCCAGCAGATAACCTAGAAAGTAAAAGGCGACAAAAAGAACAAGATACGTGGTCTTTGCAATGAAGTAAGGTGTACAATAACAAGAAGCTTACTTCCATCCTCCATGCCTCCCAGCAGAAAGGGGGAAGATAGGAAAGAAAGAAAACTCATAATGAAGCTGAAAATTTAATTGCAGATGGATGAAGAAAAAGGAGAACATTTTAAACTAATATCTCGCACAGAGGAACATTACATGCAATTCAAGACTCGGACAGAGAAATACAGAGCTCTATGAACAAAAGAATACCATCCGAGGCATATCCATTGTAAATACAACATTTATATATGTCATGTATTGATAGGATTGTAACTTCCCTTCCAAAAATCCATCACTAAATAAGTAATTGAATAATTAATATTTTCAGTTTCTAATTATAAAAAGACTGTCAGTAAAAAAATTAGCGGCTGAAAAATCTCTGGCTAAATTTTTCACTTATTTAAATTGACTTTCTGATTTATATTACCTCCCTCGCTAAATTTCATCATTAAATCCATCTCTTATATTACCTTTCATTGTGAAAAAATGTATTAGTGATTGACTTAATGATTAAAAATCCGTTGGTAATTTCCATCTCTGGTTCTTAAAAAAATCACTGACAACTAATGACAGAACAATAATGGAAACCACATACCAAACGATATGACAGCTTACTCAATATTCTATGCAACTTTTCATCTTCTCGCTTACTCTCTAGTACATTGCAAAGATAACAAATGTTCTCTTAATTCTCTGGACCTGTCAATTTAGTAGACCAAATACTTAGTCTTTGGGTTATAAGTCCAAGCGTACCGGTTCCACCCTGTCACAGACTCACAGGACCTTGCAGCCAGAACAAAACAAAAAAATTTCTTGAGCTCCATTTCAGTTATAAGACTAGAAGCATTTTGGAGAAAGGTTCAAAAATATCATGACTCATGCCTGCGTGCAAGTATAATTTGCTAGTCCAGAAACAACTTTCTTTACAGTGATACTGCAAAACTTGGACAATCTCAATCAGCACTTTAATAATTTAGCCTCTTTGGTGAGGATTAAAATTAGATTTTTAGTAGATTTTGATAAAAGTTGATGAAATGTGTGGTTAAAAAGTTGTGGATCTCATAAAGTTTGTGGTAAAAATTAATTGTTGACTTTGACTTATATTAAAATCTGAATTTTAATTTCTACCAAACAGGGGCTTAATCACATTCCTGTTACTCAGTATCTATATCAGAACTCAATACACAAATATATGGGCCAACATCCATGTATCACTGAATGTACACCACCGTGAAAACACAAGGAAAAAGGAATCTTTCTTTGACAACAAAATGCATCACAACGCATAATCAGTTTTTACCAAAACAAAGTCTGTACAAGAGTACACCACACAAAGATGATGGACCGAATATATAAAATTACACGGATAAATTTGCACATAAATATGCATGAAAGATTTTCAATTAATTTATAGTAAAGTAAAAACTGTAATTTGTAAGAAAAGAGACCTGAATATATGCAAGTATATCATTGGTTCCCATTCTTGCCCCGTCTTCGTGTTGTCTTAAAATCCAATTATAAAGTTTTTCCTACATAAACAAGTCATGATTAGTTATTTATTAGTAAGCCCAAGCATAGTGTACAAACAACCTTTTAGAAGGCTAATGGGTATCAAGGCATTTTGCCACCGTGAAGCAAGGTAAGCCTCAACATAAATCACTAAAATACCAAACCATAAACCATCTAAAAATTATCATGATAGAACACTTTCACAATATTGAAGTCTAATTTGCAGCTAAACTTAAAATTGACCAAGTAGCAAAAAATAAATCAGAATCCAGTTATCATGTACTAGACCATTAAGAACTAAAAAGCAAATGGTACAATGGGGCCTAGTTATTCACAAATCTTGTCTGCATTGACATTATAAGGAAAGAAAACACAAACATATAGAAAGCATGAAAAATATATTTTTTCAAAAAAAGTTGAGCTACATCATGCCTTTGGATTACCGTCACCATTAAGATATAGTAATTACTTATTTCACTTTACAGAGGGATTTATAGCAATTTAGTTATAGGAAGCTAGGGAATGCCTGCTTTACTTGTTCTCTTCTCCCTTCTCAATTCCTTTTTCTAATTTTTAGCTTTGGATTGTGTTTCAATATCCTAAGATAACCTTTAAACATTCTAGTAAAGTTAGTCCAAAGAACCAAGGTTAATAATTAAAAAACCCAGAAAAACCATGATGAATGTGACATTTTCTCAATAAGTCTGTCAAGATACAGCCCAGAAATGGTACTTAGAACACACGCTTTAAGACAGCTTAATAATGGACTCTTGTCCGGCACGCCTCACAACACAAGCTTCAAGTGCTTTTTAAGAACAATGCGAAGAAAAAAAGAACAAAAAAGAAAGTCAACATTATCTGTTCTTAATCCTGCCACTCTCCCGTTCTTTCAAAAACTCTTTTTCCAGTATACCCATTTTTAAACATGCATTCCACATTAAAATATTTAATCGTAGATTCAAAACTTTTTCCTACTTTTTAACCACAATTTCTCCAAAAATTCACTATTCAAAACAATGTTTTTCCAAAATAATGGCCACCTAACAGTAATTGGACTTTTACTATGATACTAAATTCAGGTTAAAATACAGTGAAACACATATAATTAAAAAAATATAAAAATGCAAATCAATTTATTTATATACCCATGTAAAATTGGAAATAGTTCATAAAATAACTCAAAGATAATCAATAAAAATTACACCGACATTACCTAAAACTCAATTACAGAAAAATCCATAAAAAAGAAGAGGAGAGAACATACCAGAGAGTGGCGTTCACCGGCCTGGAAGGAGACCTTCTGATGGTGCATGGCCTGGGAGTAGAGGTGGGATAGGGAGTTGGCCGCGCTGCTGAAAGTGGTGTACAAGGTACGATCCACCTCATCCAGGCGCGTTGCATCGGATTTCCTCTTCTTTGGCATGAAGAAAAATGGGAATTCTTCTATTTTTTACAAAACCCTAGATTGCTTGGTCCGTATAAAATATTGCAGTGCATTTATATATGTGGGAATATCGGATTTATATATGCAGAGGGAGAAGAAAGTGGGCAAAAGAGAAGGGAAATGGTTCTGCGGTCATGGGACGTGACATGTTCTTGAGAAAGTTAAAGTGCAATTTTTCACTTATAATTCGATCAAGAATTATTGTTTCCTTCAAGGGTTAAAATAAAAATAAAAATAGAAGACATCACTTCCTTGTCAAATTTGGTAATCAATATTTTAATGAGCTCAAAGAAGAAAAAAAGATTGATTTTCTTATTTGAAATGCTCCATCTACATTATGGTGCGAGTATACTATTTCTTTTTTTCGATACTTATAGGGGATTTCAAGCGTTTTATGTTATTGAATTTTCTATCTTTTCTTTTAATGCTTTGATTTGAAATGATAGTTTCTGGCTAGTTAAATAGATAATATTAGTTCTATCTCACTCAAGAATGGGACCATAGTGGTTTGTCAGCAAGTCCGTTCTAATTTTTGACACAGCATATTGGAATTCGAAGCACCACTTTACTTTCCTAGCAACGAACTCCAACGTGCTAGTTTAGTTATTCATAGGGCCCTTAATTGATGCCTAGCTTCACCTAATCAATGAAGAAGAGAAGTGCAAGTTGATCATACCAAAAAATAGAAAAAAAGGCAATATGCCCATGTCGAGGGACATAGAAACACATCCAAAGAAAGAAATTGGGGTTCCCAATGCTTCTTCATGCAAAATGAGATGCGCTAATTTTGAGATGCTTTGCTCGTAACCCCACTGAATTTCGATACAAAGCTTAACCTAAGTCTCGGTAAGGACGATAATGGTCTACGTTTTTCGACTCATGATTCAATGAATATTTCCTATAACATTGTGATGGAGGCACATAACTTATGATCATGCCATTGGGCATTTGATTAAGATGATGTACAATGATTCAAACACTCTCGCATAAAAATACAGTAATCATCATAGGGATTTTTTCTAGTACATAGTGATAGATCGGATTCAAGTGGTCATGAACATCATAAGGTAATGCTATTTGCAAACTCTTTTCATAATCCTCAATCATTTGCTCGCTATATAGTGACAGTACCAATGTTTACTAATCATTATAATTTATTTCTCTTGAATTGAATGTGGACAAAATCTCTTCTCGCAAGGCTAGAATTTCAGTATTTCACATTCCTCGTTGCTTTTATGTGAGCTAAGATTAGGGTTAGAGATAAATTAGGAATTTTTTTTCTAGGGATAAGATTGTTAGTTCAATAAAATGAAATTGGTAGAGGTAATGGTGTTTAGTCTAGGGGATTGCAACGGAGCAGGTATGTGACAGATTGACTATTTCCACCCCTGTTCCGTCGGATTTTTTTGTTATCGTATCCCATCCCTATACCCGCTTAAAGCAAGACGGGGCGGGGGCTGCCCCATTTATCCCCAATTTATTTTTTCTTTTTATTTTTTATTTATTTTATTTTTTACTTTTAACCTTTTTATATCTTTAGTTAGTAAATATTATTACTTTTTTTTATCAATTTATTAAAAACAACTTATGTTCTTTGAAAAATGAAGATAAATCTATTATTTTTGTTTGATAAAAAATTTAAATTTGAAATTAACTTTAAACGGGGTGAGTATCGAGAAGGGGATTATGTTTCCCGTACCCATCCCATACCCGCTTCGGGGCAATGGACCTCGTCCCGTCCTTACCCCGTTTACCCGGTTAGGCGGGTAATCCTCGCCCCATTCAGGATGGGATCCCACGGATATCGGGTTAAACGAATGTTTTTGCCATCCCTATTATTTTAGTCCACTATGACATTGAAGGAGTACTACTTAAGATTTTTGCGTAACTTTAGCTAATCGGGTGGCCAATTCTGAAATTAATATGGTAAGAAAAAAGCTTTAAGAACCAATAAGAAATTTTGCACAAACTTTACTAATAATTTTGTATATTCAAACGTTAAAAAGTTATGTGACAGACAAATATCCAAATTTTAAGAGGTAAAACATGAAAATTCTTGCAAGAAAAATATCAAGCTTTTTGTGGATAATTTTCGAGCAATCAAAACATTATTTTAATGTATAATCACTTGATTATTAGATAATTTGTTCATAAAAAATCATCACAAACACTTTGAGAAATCGCAATAGATGTTAGAAAAAACATTTTTTGCTTTAATTAAAGTCTATTATAATTGAATTGAGTTTAGCTTATTACAATTGTAATAATATACTTTTAATCATTATTTTATTGAGTCTTACACTCATTTTTTAATTTTTATAATAAGTCCTTTTTCTTTTTCTTTTTTTTCTTTTTTTTTTTTAACTTGAGACTTGATATTCACGTCCTACTGCAAATCTTGCCATTTATAAATGGTTTACAAACATGCTTTAAGAGCTTGTTTGGAAGACTTTAAATTATAATCATTTTTCCAAAATCCAAAATACAATTTGTCCACACATTTTGTAGAATCCACAACTTCTATCCACTTTTCGTTGACATTTTGTGAGGGCTGCTAATTAAATTATAATTTGAGCATTCCCAAACAAGCCCTAATTATGGAGGGATGCTCAATAAGAGACCCTCCTACAAAAATTGAAAAGCTTACAATTATTTTGCTCTCAAAACATTTAAAGTACGTCGTCAAAAATCAAACGACAACATGTGCCACCTGAATACGAGTTAACCAATCGAATTTACATACATTCATCTAGGATTTCATCAGACTCCAGTCCGTCGTTAAATAAGTTACGACGATTCTGTACAAATTAACAACATACAATTTGCTGAAATCCTAGATGTTTGTTATCAAACCTGCGATGTTTGTCAGAAGATGTCCTTTTACTGATAAGATTCTGTATTGTTAACTTTTATCTTTGGAGGTAACGCTCCATTTCCCAATTTGTAAGAAGTCGTGCTGATAAAACTCTTCAAAGGACAAACGATTATCTGCAAAGATAGTGAGATGCATCGACTTGGTTTTAGAATATACAGTCCCACTATGAAGCAAATTCACATGCTATAAAATCAATATGGTAAACCTGGATTAGTCGACAATAATCTTGTACACAAATCAATAGAGTCGGGATGCAACTGTGGAAGAACCAGTCGAGAAAAAGGAAGAGATGTAGAGGCCTTGATATGATGTAGAAGCTGAATCAATCAAAATCTTAGTTAAGGAAAGGCGTGTTGGCAAAGTAGAACATGGACATTCTAGTTTTACCCAAGGTGTTACCTGGACACTAGTCCGACCATGAAAAGGAGGGCAGCCATTGAGAAGTTCGAAAAGAATTGCGCCAAGGCTCCACATGTCGACCTATAAAGAAATTCTCACTCTCAGTTTTGTCCCATATAACAAAACAGCAAAAAGCTTACAACCTTTTCATCGTATCTTTGAAACTGTAAAACTTCGGGAGCCATGTACATTGGTGAACCACAAACGGTTTCTGCATATTCATCCGGACGTAAAATCCTGATCCAAATGAACTTCTTTAGTTCATTCAAGATTAGGAATGCTGCGAATCTATGTTGTTGTTAACTTACCTTGAAAGTCCAAAATCGGCAATTTTTAGAACTGGGTCACATTCACAAGAAGATAAGAGAATATTCTGAGCCAGTGGTAAGAAAAAACGAAAGAATTATTTATATACGTGTACACAAGCAAAAAGTATTTCTTTTCAATTGAAATGGGAACTCTTACTTCGGGTTTCAGGTCGCGGTGGATAATGTTATGTGATTTCAAAACCTTCAAACCAGCTCCTGCAATGTAGAAAAGTGATGTCAAATGAGAAAATCATAGAGCAAAGTAAGCAATAAATTATAATTTACCGAGCTGCTGCATGAATCTTTTAGCAGTGCACTCTTGAACTCTGCCACAACGCTGAATGTACGAAGCTAGATTTCCCCCAGCACAAAACTCCAAGACCAGGACAATGCAGCACTTAACCTAAGAAATAGATTCATTAACTTCTGTCAAGAGTGTTGAAGGGAGCAAGATTTGAGCAAACATCATTAAGTCGATAAAAAAGTTCGTCACGGAGTTTTCTTGTTCATATTTATATGAAATAGGCAATATGTTACGTCTTGTGTCCGAATGATGTACCAAACTAGTAGGTGAACCAAAAAGGCTTTTTACTCAATGCAGATGTTTATTGGTCAACGCTTTGGGGGATGTATTCTTGCTTAATTTCATCCAGAACATGAATAATGATTAAAAATAAAGGATTATCTAAAGAGGCCATGTATCAGACATCACTTTGGTAGGAATAAGTAATAATAAGATCTCTGGCTCTCTATAACATAGAAGAAGGATAAAGAAAAGAATCGGATTTAGATGTTCAACCAAGTTATAGCTTCTGCCGGACTCATTTCAGTGTGTTGGGGCTTTTTCATGAAATATATTTGGTTGCATTCCAGGAAGTAAAAATTGAGAAGGGAAATTTGAATAATTCCTTAAGCAAACAAATTATTTTAGAATCCAATTAACCAAACCTAAATAATTTCAATGTTATTCTATGATCTAGATGCAGGTGGAAGTCCCAGTAGGCTCCCCTTTTGGCTTTTCTTATGTTAAGGTTTTAGATTCAGATTACTCAATTGATCAGAAGCTCGAAATGATGATTATAGTAATCATATTGGGTATATTCATTAGAAAATGGAAGAAACTTTGCTACTTGCATTTTCAATATATATGACTAATAACCAAGACCGCGCATCAAGGAAAAAATTAATGCAAGAAAACCTTATTTGAAACATTAGCAGCAATTGCTTATTCAGATTACTTAGTTACTGAAAGGTAGGTATCTCTTATTTAAGTCCGTTAATCATGCACGTTATTGGCAATCATTCATTTTGGTGATCTCAGTCGACTTAATCTCAACTTACTAGATTTTTTCTGCTTTTTGCAATAATAATGTCCGATTTTGGCATCTAATAGTAAAGTTCCAAGTAGTCACTCAATTTAATACAACAAAAATTAACATAGGGATGCCTCAAGAACCTTCAGAAAATCAATCGAGCTATCCACTTGGGAAATCAAGATTTAACTTCCACTAACCAAGTAAATGTCAAGAACCATGCAGATACAACACATAAAATCAATATAATCACACACCACTCCAACGCAACGAAATATGCAATTAGTTAAGAAATTGAAAAGAACCGAGATGCCTAAAAGTCCATTAACAATGTAGTAATTTCTCGACTTATCTACAGGATTACTTGTCCAAAAGCTTAAACGGTTAGAAATGCGACATATTAATCCATTTAACATCTCAATACGGCCCCACGCATATGGACCCCAATTCATAAATTTCACTGATATGTGCATAATTCATAAATAGGCGGTATCAAGACCTCTGCTTGCTCTAGTACCGTGTTGAGCCACTTGCACAGTTTGCTAAGTTGAATTTAATCTTCAATATTAACTAATTAACCACAATCCCATTGGCAAAATAAGCATTTCCTTAATAGCTTAATCAATTGTAAACTTGAAGCAAAAACATTTTGTTCAGTTCCAAAAATAAGCAATTCTCAATAACTTAATCAGATATAAACCTGAAGCAAGAGCTTAAACCAACCTCTAGTACATCGAGAAGGCGAATAATATTCGGGTGATTGACGGAGGACAAGAAGGAAAGCTCACACTCCAAGCAATTCTTGAGGCGGCGCGTCAATTTCCTCACCTGAATTTGCTTCAGCGCCACCACTTGTCCGGTGGTTCTGTGCTCCGCTTCCCATACCGTCGACAGTGAACTCTCCCCCAATTTCGACCTCAATACGTACTCTCCAATCGCCGGGAGCTTCTCCATATTGTCTGTTCTGGACTTTTCTTACAGATACGGGGATTTCAATAGGGATTTGGTGACTGATTTTCCATTTCAGTAGCACGAAATTGGTCACTGATTTTCCATCTAGTAATGGATTTCTCTAGATGAATTGGAGCACGAAAAAAGTTCTTCTTTGGGAATGAGTTCAGATGGCCACTCCCGATGTGTTTTTATCCTGAAGGCCTTTGACCAAATTTTTCAAAATAAAAAAAAATGTTATTTGTGTTTGACACCTATTTTGCAAAAGAATTTGATGTAGAATGATTGAAGAATATGTGGTTAAAAAGTAAGGAGAATTTTTAAATTTATGTGTAACATTATTTTATTGATAGAATGTGTGGTTGAAATGAAAAAAAAAATGAGAAAGAGAATGAGAAAAAAATGAATGTCAAGCAAGGGTAAAATCGAATTGAACCGATAAACTCGGGAACCGGTCCATAATTTGGTTCCGTTTAAACTTAGAAATCACTAAAAAAGAGGAATGAGTTCAAATGACCACCATTCATAAACATTTTGTCAAATAGGTCTTTGATCGAAATTATTATTTAAAACTGTCAAAAGACATCTTTAACCTTATCTTGTAAAATGAAATTGAAGAAAGAATTAGGGATTTTCTTTCATTCATTCACACCATAAACAAACCATTCTCTTTCAAATTCAAAAAACCTCTTCTCCTTCAAAATCTTCTCATTCAAATTTTCAACTCTTCTCCTTCAAATCTAGGGCGTGTCTGGGCGCAATTTTTGAGTGAAAAATCAATTTTCATGTCAAATCAACCGGGCCCACATGGAGCTTACTCTTGCACGGCTAAATAGAAAAATTGGCATTCAATTCCCAAATTGTCCTTTAAACTGCTTTTTTAAACCTTTCTCTCACCTCAAATAATTGCAACTTTGACCAAATGCATCCTTTGAAATGAGGGGGGTAAATTGGGAATATGGATTATTGTGGCCTGATTTCTTGTTAGATGAACGCGAATAAAAAAAAAAGAAGCAACTGTGCCATTTTTGATTTGTAGCGGTGAGAATTAAAATTTTCCATGTGCCCAGACACGCCCCTAAAGTCATCTCTTCCCCTTCTTCTACTGAGCTCGGCGATTGTGAAAAATTTTAATGGGAACAACTTTTTTGGTGGAGGGTTGAGTTCAAAATCCGTCTTCGTCATTTTCAAACCAACTACGAACTCCCACTTAGAAAAGTCAATGTAAGTTTTCTGTATTTTCAAAGGTAGTTTGCATGAAATGGATTTGATTGTCGAATAATATTTTTTATTGGTTGAGTTTGAAAATCTGTTTCTTCTCCTGAGCCATGCGTATTGGATTTTTCAGGCTGAGTTCGAAAATTTGTCTTCTTCTTTTAAACCATGCTATTGGGTTTTTAAGGTTGAGTTCAAAAATCTAATTTATTCTTCTGAACCATGTGTATTGAATTTTTATATAATTTTTTTTTTGTTTCTAGTGAGAATGATACTTGATTTTTATTATCTGAATTTGAGGAATTGAATTTTGTTTGAATATCCTAGGTTCCTATGTATTCTCGTTCTTCTACATAGATTGATTAGGGTTTATTAATTACCTTTTTTGGATATAGTTCATAGTAAAAAAATTCAAAGAGTAATACGTATTTAAAATGAGGCTCGAAATTGATATTATACTTTTTTTACAATGTAAAGTTAATTTGATAGGATGACATGAGAAGAAAAGAGACGTTGAAAATGAGATAATAGACATACTGTCCAAATATATATGTGAGTTGAGAGTGACTTGGAACTCATTGTCTTTAACTCTTTTCCCAAATACGTATGTGCATTTAACTCTTTCCATATTTGATGTTTTCTATCTTCTAAATTTTGAGAATTGAAATTGGAAGTTTGTACTTGGAATTTGTCTTAACTATTCTCATTAAACTATAAAGTAATGCGTAAAATAAAACATAATATTTCATGATAATTTTACAATTTTTATAAAACTGGTAATTGTATTAGTAGAATATTAGTTGGACCTTTTGTTGTAAAGTACTACAATGTTTGCAATCTGTACATAATTTATTTTTTCTTATCGAAAATATGTATGCTTAACTTGATTTATATAGCTTATGCATTTTGTTCGTATGTGCTTTACTATCATTAGTTGTTCTAATATTTGTACATGTTTTATAATTTGCATTGCTATGGAGAAAATACAAGTTGATGATACAGTTACAACAAGATGTAGACTGCACATAGTACAAGATGTTTATGAGAAGCTAGATACAAAGTACAAAAGCAAGTTCCATGAGAGAGCTACTTTGGATCTCTTCTTAGAATGAGGGATATAAGGTTGGCTTCACAGGTTGTACATTAATTATTATTGTGAAAGATAAAGACCAGCAAAAAAGAAGAAGTATGGTTTAATATAGGAGACAAACGAGCAAGATTTGAATTGGAAGAATTTGTGACGAGCTTAAATGCGGGTGATGATAAAAATGTAGATAAGACTTTGGGGGTGGAGTGTTGAATTGTGAAAGAATATTTTAAGAAAAGTGTGGTGAAGATTACGAAGGGAGATACTTACAATGCATTTATATGTTGCAAGAAAATAAAGAGCGACAAGTATAAGTTGTGATTGATCGTAATTTTGGCACACATCATGTCGGCCACGGAGGAAAACACCTACATCGATTTATGGTGGCTGGACNATTGCTAATTAAGTCCAAATTCTGTTTATCTTATGTTCTATCTATACATATGTGTGTATGTGTGTTTGTTTGTTTGTGTTGTAAACTACATATAACAAATGAGAGCAACTAGTTTTTTACTTGGACGAGTTTTTAGGTCAATATTTGTTGCATGGCCTTCCCCTCACTATAATGGTATAAACAAACAATACTCTTGACTAGTATTATTTTTTATATATAAATTTGTGATGTGAGATAATAATATTTGTTTTACAATAGATTTGGGCATTCGAAGATATTTCAACTTTGAGAATGAAGTTTGCTACGAAATATCTGAATACAATTCCAAGAATGGTCGTTTGGGAAATGTCGAAGAGGTTAGTGTCTGTTGCCATTGATAACGTGTTGAAATTGAAAGAGGCACATTGCTTCTTTTTTTCCGAGTTTAAGTTTAATAGAACAAATTGTGGAATTAGCTTAGCGAATAACTAATGATTTGCAAGATTTAATGTTTGCAGTTGGAGGTTACTTCTACATTGATTCCCAATGAACTCGAACTCGAGGAGGTCTATTGGAAAAAGTTGACACCGATCGTAGGAGAAGATAAGAGTACTTCACACCATTCTGAAGGAAATGAGGTTGAGCATGATGCCGAGCCACAACATTCATTCCATCAACACTCTCCCAGAGCATCTCAATCACCACCGGTATCTCATGAGATCAACATAGTGGATTTATTGAGAACGAAAATGAAAAAACTTGAGAGAATGCTACAAACAGTCATATCAACTCAACTTGATCGGGTGGAGAAAAAGGTTGACAAGTCGATTCCATTCAGCGACTATTGCATTTGATGGTGCCACTAGTAGCACAACTTATGTACCCGAATATGAACCCAAGGGTGGGTTGGAAAATGAGGGTGGATTTGATGATATGACAGATGTTCCTGCAAATGAAAGAAAAGTGGAAGAGTTTGGAGCTGATATTAGATCTGGGGATAATATGCAGGAGCAAGATAAGGAAAAAATGGTCGAAGAAGGCGTTGGAAAAGAAATAATGGTAGAGAAGGAGCATCCCGAAGTAGAGAAAGGCATCATTGATTTTGTGACGCCTGAGAAACATGAGGTGGATGCGAATGAATCCACTCAAGGTATATGAAAAATAATCGACGTTCAGCTTCATGTTATCAACTCCAAGTTAAACAAATTTTAGATTTCTAATAGTTTTTACTTGCAACATATAGGCGACAGTGTATAAATCGAGAAGGTAGGATGTAATTCACCGAAATGACGAGTGTATCGTCCAAAGAGAAAATCAAGCTTATTGTGTTCTCTCTTCATGGACCCAACAAAGAGGAGAAAGATGTTGGACATAGATGTATATGATCCTTATCTAGAAGTGGATCCTATGAAGGTGGGGCTCTTTACAAATGCATGGAAAATGCATCTTCAGGGTAAATTATTACATATAGTTGCAAGTACATGTGAAAGTAATGATATTACTACATAAATATAACTTTGTGTCGATTTTGTTGAATGCGTAGTGAAGTTATACATTTGCGCTTTTTTGATGTTCAAGTACAATATTTGATCGACCTTTTGAATGAAAATGGTTAGATTACTGGTGATAATAACACATTTGTTACTTTTTGACCCATTAATATTTGCGTTTCTATGATTATTTGACGCATAAATGCACTAAGTACTTCTATATCTTGGTTTATGTTGTAAATGGGTAAAAACGGTGGAAAATTGAAGAAACGAGCGAAAAATGACCAAAATGGAAGAAAGTGAAAGCTCGGTGGTGTGCTGTCCCA